GAACAAAGTAGGAAGGCTTACACTTTCCACTTTCAAAATGTACTGTAAAGCTATCATAATCAAAATTGTGGTAGTGGTATTAGGACATACAGACCAATGGAATAGAATTGAGTGCCTAGAAATAAATCCATACATCTATGGCCAATATCTTTTCTACAAGGGTCCCAAGTCCATTTAATGAGAAAAAGAATTGTCTCTTCAACAGATAATGCTAGGACAGCTGGATCTCCACATACAAAAAAATGATACTGGGTCCCTACCTTACACTATTTATAAAAATTACCTAAAAGTAGATAAATGGACTAAATATAAATTAGATAAATGGACTAAATATTAAACTCTAAAGGTAACGGGTAATGTTTTACACCTAGTTTTCGACTGGATTCTTAGGTATGATACCAAAACACGAGCCATAAAAAAGCAATAGCTACATTGTACTTCATCAGAATTAAAACTGTTATACACCCAAGGACTTTATCAAGAAAGCAAAGAATCAGTCTGCAGAATGGGAGTAGATGTGTTGTAACCACATATTTCATCAGCGTTTATTATCTAGACCAGGGGTCTGCAAACTGCAACTCTCGAGCCATGTGCAGCTCTTTCGGTACATACACGTGGCTCTGAAATAAAATTTTAAGGGATATTATTCAGATAATGGTGATTTCATTTGTTTGTAACATTTTTTTTATGGTTCTTGAATACATTTTAACTGTAGTAAGGGAAAGAATTGGCTCTTTGTCTCAAAAAGTTTGCCGAGTACTGATCTAGACTATATTAAAACTCCTACAACTTAACAGTAGAAAGACAACCATGAAAAATGGGTAAAGCACTTGAATAGATATTCTTCAAAGAAGATACATTGGTGGTCAATTTGTACTAGTGTGTCTATTACCAAAAGAAGTAGAAAATCACAATTATTGGTGAAGGTGTGGGAAGAGTGGAATCGTCATCCATTGCTGTTAAGGTTGTAAATGATTCCGCTTCTGTGGGAAAGGATCAGCAGTTCTCCACCGAGTCAAACAGGACTGAGGTGTGACCCTGCAGTTCTACTCCCAGGGGTACACCCAAAGAACTTGAAAGCAGGGAATCCGGCAGATACTTGTGTACCACTGTTCACTTCAGCTGTCACAGCAAAAAGAAACCACGTAAGTGTTTATCAACATATGAATGGATAAACAAAATGTGGTCTATAGATGGAGTTATTCAGCCATAAAGAAAAAGGAAGTTTCAATATATGCCACTGCGTGGATGAACCTTAAGAAAACACTAAGTGGAAAAGTCAGACACATTATATGCTTCAATGATAGTATTATGCTTCCATTTATATAAAATATCTAAAATAGACATTTGCAGAGAGGAAAGGGTATTATTGGCTGGTGAGAGGGAAATGAAGACTTGTTGCTTAAATTATTCAGTGACTATGGGGATGAAAAACTGATTACAGTAGATGGGATAATGACTATGCAACATGATAAATATAATTAGTGTCATTAAATTGTACACTTAAATGGCTTAATTTAAAAAAAATTTTAAGGCACTTCAAAAAGTTCATGGAAAAATGGAATGAAAAGATGAAATTTTTGAAGCCCCTCTTAGGATGATAAGCCAAAAAGTATTGTACAAAATCGTAGAAACCCTTCTTTAAAATCTCAAAATGAAAAAAAAAAAAATCTCAAAATGAAGGTTTGTTTCCCAGCATATCTTTCATCTAGGTGTACACATTTCTAAAGGCATCTCTCTACTCTTCCCAGAATTCTGTACTCTTTGATTTATACCATACCAACGTGGCAGTTTTGTCATCTTCAAGGGACTTTATCATATTCCTTTTTAATGTTTTTTGAATTTGGGGAACAAAAGAGAAGTGTGAAGGGGCAATACCAAGGGTATAAGGTGGGTGGGATAAGGTTTCCCAGCAAGATTCTCACGTGACAATCCTTGTTACCCTGAGAGAACGCGAAGGGACACTGATGTGATGAGAAACAACGCCTGCGTGCAATTGGCTGGACCTCTTCCTCACCAATGCAGTTTTCTGTTTCCTTAAAATGCCTTCATAATTAGCTCCTGTGCTTATCTTTCTAGAGTTCTATTAAGATTAGCCCTTTGGGCTCTCAAACTAGAGTTGGTATGAACTTCTAAGCTGACATCGCTGACTTGAATTTAACCAGCCCAGCAGATTCCCCTCAGAAGCCACTTGTTTTCATTGGACCTTTTTCTGAAGGGCCCCTAACGAGACAGAAAGTATATTACTGAGATACTTTCCAGCCATCACTGATCATGGAGACATGTTTATAAACACATTTGATTTGTAATAAGCCTGTGCATGTATGAACTGGACCCTAGTAACAATACTTGTGACTTTCGTGTTTCACCACAAGATATAACCAACCAAAAAACCATCAAACATGGCCAACTTTAAATCATTGCTCTTTTAGTGGACGTCTATCATAGTCGTCTACTGTATTTCTACTGCTTCATACTCACTCTGGTTTTCTAAACAGAAAATTAGAAATATATTTCATTGTTTATGTAATCAGAGATTTATGTTAGTGTTTTTCTTACTTGAAAATACAAGGGGGCTTCCAAGAGCTATGGGAAAATTCCACTATCTTCTGTTTCATTTTTCACAAAATTTTTGAAGCCCCCTTGTATATTCTAAAATATAGATGAAGTTAATGACTATGAATCTCTCAGAAAATGTCACTAAATGAGGTGAATTGCCACCACTACAGATCAGAGCACCTTTGCTTGAATTCCATGTGAGAATGATGTTAGCATAAGTCCCCTTGATGACTGGCATTTTTATTTTGATTGTTTCTTAACTCACTCCCCAATGAAATGGCCAATGAACTCCAGAATAGTAGTTTTGATTGAGAATATTGTGTTTCCCCTGTTCTGTAGTGCACTGTTTGTATTTTTTGCATTGTTTGTTTGATTTTAGTCCTTAGAAAACTTACCTCTATACTCGAGTATAAGCCAACCCAAATATCAGCTGAGGCTCCTAATTTTACCACTAAAACTGCATTAAATATGTGCTGGAACAGGGAGAGGGACATGTCTGATCAGAGCACACGGAAGCAAATGAAGGAGGAGGAAGAGAGAATGGAGCACATCTGGCCTATCAAGCCTTGAGGACAATATCCCTGCTCAGAGCAGCCAATGCGCCGAGAGTACCATATGCCCGGCCCCACTATGAGACACGACATCCCTCACTGATCCATAGCCTTATGGGGGACAACACTGGAGACGCAGTGTGGGAATTGCACTTGATCTGACCCAGCGAGGCAAAACACTAAGGGCGTGCAACAGAATAGGAAGGAGAGCAGAGAAAGGAAGTCTTGAGGGAGTACCAAAAATAGACTTTGGGGCCAGGGTGTGGCGCCCCATCAGACTTGACTGGAAAACACTCCTAAAGGTCAACAAACAGACCTTGAACTATTTACAGGCTTTTTTTGGTCATTGCTTTTTGTTGTCATTTTGTTTTGCTCTGTTTTGTTTGTGCATATTATTATCTCTGCAGGTCTATTTAAGATAGGCTGAATAAACAATCTGGAGGAGAAAATAACGGGGACCGACAGTTCCGGGGTGACATGGGAGAGGGGGAGGTGGGGGGAAAGAAAGTGGTATTAACCAACCCAGGGACAAGGGAACAACAAGTGATCCAAAATCAGTGGCAAGAAGGGTGTAAGAGGCCTGGTAGGGCTTGATCAAGGGCAATGTAACCGAGAGGAATTACTGAAACCGAAATGAAGGTTGAGAATGATAGTGGGACAAGAGGAAAGTAAAGAAAATACAGGAAAACTAGGTGGCAAAGGGCATTTATAGACCTCTAAATACAGCCATATACATATGTAAATATATTTACATATGATGATGGGGAAATAGATCTATGTGGACATATTTATAGGTTTAGTATTAAGGTAGCAGATGGACATTGGGCCTCCACTCAAGTACTCCCTCAAGGCAAGAACACTGTTCTATTAAATTGGCATTCCATGATGTTTACCTTCCTGACATGGTCGCTGAAGACAAATGTGTGCATGAGCAAAGGTGGTGAAGAAAGTTGATGCCCGGCTATCAAAAGATAATAGCATCTGGAATCTTTAAAGCTTGAAGGTAAACAAGTGGCCATCTAGCTCAGAAGCAACAAAGCCCACGTGGAAGAAGCACACCAGCTTATGTGATCATGAGGTGTTGAAGGGCTCAGTTATCAGGCATCAAAGGACAAAAAATCATATCATTGTGAGTGAGGGGGTAGAGGGGTACAGATTGGGGACCCAAAGCCCTTCTGTAGGCAACTGGGCATCCCCTTACAGATGGGTCATGGGGAGGAGATGAGCCAGTCAGGGTGCAGTGTAGTAACGATGAAACATACAACTTTCCTCTAGTTCTTAATTGCCCCCCCCCCCCCTATCATGATCCCAATTCTACCTTACAAATCTGGCTAGACCAGAGCATGTACACTGGTACAAATAGGAACTGGAAACACGGAATCTAGGACAAATGATCCCTTCAGGGAGAGTGGCGATACCGGGAAGGTGGGGTAGGAAGGGAGAACTGATTACAAGGATCTCCATATAACCTCCTCCCTGGGGGATGGACAACAGAAAAGTGGGGGAAGGGAGATGTCAGACAGCGTAAGATATGATAAAATAATAATTTACAAATTGTCAAGGGTTCATGAGAGGTGGGAGCGGGGAGGGAGGGGAAAGTGAGCTGATAACCAAGGGCTCAAGTAGAAAGTAAATGTTTTGAGAATGATGATCGCAACAAATGTACAAATGTGCTTGACACACAATGGATGGATGGATGGATTGTGATAAGAGTTATATGAGCCCCCAGTAAAATGATTTTTTTTAAACAAATTTTTAAAAAATGGAAAAAAAAGTTGAGCATAAAACAAAAACAATATGTACTGGAAAAATTCGGTTTATACACAATTATATAAGGTAATCAAATGTATATTGTTTAATGTTAAAATTTTGTTTTCTTTCTTTCCAAAGGGACTTTGCTATAGGAATCTGTAACAAAATCAGTGAAATGATTCAAGGTATGTATGTCTGACTTAGACTGACTAAGTAGCTTCTGTGGAGTTCATATTAATAGCCCTGGTGGTGTACTAGATTATGTATAAAGCTGCTAACTGCAAGGTCTGCTGTTTGAACCTACCAGCCACTCTGAGGGAGAAAGAAAAGGCCAGCAATTCACTCCTGGAAAGACTGGCGGTCTCTCAGATCCAAAGGGTCACTCCTACTCTGTTGTATAGGGTTGCTATGAGCCGGAATCAACTTGAAGGCCATGAGAGTTGAGAATATTTAGTAAGTACTTAGTGTTTGTTACAAGGTGCCCTGGTGGCGTAGTGAGTTATGCATTGAGCTGCTAACCTTAGGGTCAGCAGTTCTAAACCCCAAGTTACTCTGTCGAAGAAAGATGTGAGGTTTTGTTCATTAGTTATTCTTTATTAGGTGCCATTTATTACTCATTCATTTAAGTAATAATATTTAGTAAGCAGTGTCTACATGCCGAGAGGAGAAAGACCCAGTTATTACTGACTTCTGGGAAAGCAGCCACTGAAACTGTCGAGCATAGTTCTGCTCCTCTTCCATGCATGGGCTTATCATGAATTGGAATTGACTTTTTGGCCATTGTTTTTTGTTCGTTCATTATGCCAGAACTGTTCTAAGTCCTGAGGGTACAGTAGTGAACAAAACAAAGCCCTTACCGTCTTTTACCCTCTTAGAACTTACATGCTAGCAATGGGGAAAGAGATCAATATAATAAAAATGGGCTGCTTCAAGTACTGTGGAGAAGAAGCAAGATGAATAGAGAGAGCTAAGACTAGGTAGTGGACAGAGACTTTTCTGTCTTATGGAGGTTGGTCAGGAATGCCTCCAGTGAGTGAGTGAGACTTGAACATGAAGGAAGGGAAGGAGGGAGCTATCCAAATTACATTCTGACGACAGGAGGACGTTCTGACTAGGAGCACTGGGACTCCTCTCTGTTAATACCTCTCCAGTGGCTTCCAATTACAACTAGAATCAAATCCAAATACCTTACCAAAGTCCTGACTTTTCAATGCTGCCTTCCATACCATGCTTTTCATGGATTAACTATTTATCCTTATCATACTTAGAAGAGGGAGCTCGAGGGCTAACTTTAGAGGATACCACTTTCATTGTGTTTTTTTCCTTTGAACTCTGTGACTTGGCAGCCTTGGTCAACTCATCCTTTTACAGAAACTGAGCCACAATAACACTTAGTGTTTTGACCAAGGTCGCACAGCTAGTAAGTGTCAGGTTATTTTGTTTTTTTCTCTGCACGCATACATTATTATTGCTTGCCTTACCCTTCACCCAAGTTAGTATTGGCAGTTAGGCTTTGAAGTCCATGTTCTTAACCATTATTCTGCTTTTTTAGGCCATAAATTTATTAGGGTATTTGTTTTAATTGCCTTTCCATTATAAATTTTAATGAAAAAAACTACTTAGTTTCTATAACTGATAACCATTACTTAATTAAAGACTGATATAATGTTGACCTTCAAAAGTATGTGGACCTAGCTGGAGAATATGTTGAAAAGCAGTAGCTTCACATTTTGATAGCTTTGTTTAAGAAAAGTCCCAGTGATTTTTATAGCAATATTTTTTTTTAACTTACCTTCATATGTCCATACTAACAGTTATTTCACCATGGAAAAATCAGTGATTTGCAGAGTGTAAATTCACTTTTGGGCATTTTTATAGTACTTTATGAATGAGAAAATTTTATTCTCTGTCACTGCATAACTGCTGTAGAAGGGGGAAAAATGCATAGCTGCACTATTGGGTGGAAAGTAGAGATTGGAGTTAATCCTCATGGATTTCTAGATGTATCTGCAATAAAAAAAGATATTGCCATACAAGTAGACATCATAGAACTTCAAATTCATTCACAAATAGTCTATCATGTCCTGCTCATGATTCAGTATTAAAGAAATAAGTAAAACTTAATATAATCAAGTTGAATGTATTTGTGTTTACTTAATGACTGTGTGTGTAAGTACAATGTGTGGGTTTGGTTTGTACGCTATTAGAAAAAATGGAGCATAAATGCAAGGCTACTTTGTACTAAGCCTTTTTTCCACTCAACATATATTTTATAAACACTGAAAATTAATATTGTTAAATATTTTTAGGAAGAGCAACTGTATGAACTCTAGTATAATATTTATATAATAGTATAAAACGCTTTTAATGTTATAAACATAGTAAAATGCTATTTTTATTTTTTCATTTTTTTATGAAAAGATCATTCTATTGGGGGCTCTTATAACTCTTATTACAATCCATAGATCAATTATATCAGGCATATTTGTCCATGTGTTGCCATTATTTTCTAGACATTTACTTTCTATTGAGCCCTTGTGTGTTAGGGTTCTCTAGAGAGATAAAACCAGATTGCTGATAATTTTATATATATATTTATAAGGATAGATATATATAACACAAGAAATGAACTGTTAAATTATAAACAGATAGATATATAGCACATTGATGAACTGTTAAATTATAAACAGATATATAATATAAAAAATGAACAGTTAAATTATAAAGCAGTACAAATGGCTCAGTGCAACTCACTCCCGTGAGAGAGTTGTGAGACACTAGCTGTCCTTTAAGTCTTGAGGGCCGTCCAGTAGTCCTCTGGAGAGAGAGAGCTAGGCTATCCCAGCACAGGCAGCAAAACAGCCAGGCAGGTCATCGACTGTCAGCCAGGTCATCAACTGTCAGTCCCCAGCTCCAAAGATGTAAATTTCAATCGTGTGGTCTTAAAGGGACCTCAACTTAAAGCGACACAGTCCACAGGCTAGGCGTCCTACAGGCAGTGTAGCCTGTCAATTGAGGCACAGAACAAGCAAGGCATCCGCACACTGGTCCGATAATCAAAGAGCAAGAGACAAGAAAGGCGAGGCTCACAGAGCCATTTATCTCTCTGCCCTTCAGTTAATCCCACTTGTGTTTATTGGCCAGGCTGGCACAATAAACCATTTCACCTTGGTATCCGCTCCTCTTTTTTAAAAAGCCATTTTTAAATGAATATTTTTGCTAACTGAATCAGACCTTTTAAATCTTCAATATTATTAAGGCCAAGATAATTAAGTGCTCTTTTTTGCATCTAGGTTTAGCCACACCCGTTGACTTGAAGCTGAAGTTGATCCCCATCCTACAGCACATGCACCATGATGCAATCCTGGCTTCCAGTGCTCGCCAGCTTTTACAGCAGCTAGTCACAGCCTATCCTTCCACCAAAATGGTGATTGTTTCTCTGCATACGTTTACTCTGCTTGCAGCTTCATCTTTGGTTGATACGCCTAAGCAGGTAATTTCGATTTTCTTCTCTAAACTGCCTTTCTGTAATAAATGTTCATATAAAGTGTACCATAAAAATAAGTGGCTTATGTTTGGGTAGCATTAAGATTCCTATCCCTGATTAAGATCAGTTTAGTGTCCTTTTGCTTGCTCTTTGCTTCTCTATATTTACATTACTCATACTTGGGAGTCCTTAAAGAAATTGAGATAGAAAGTATATGGTGGGGTATAGAGAAAAGAAGGAAGGATTGTTATGCTAAAAACTGTGCTAGACTATTACAAGTTAAATGATGAAAACTCCCAAACAAACTCACTGCTAGTAAGTCAATTCCCACTTACAGTGACCATATAGGACAGGGTAGCCCCTTTGTGTTTCTGAGACATTAAATCTTTACCAGAGTAAACAACCTTACTTTTCTCCCTTGCAGCAGCTGGTGGGTTTGAACAACTGACCTTATGGTTATAGCTCAGTGCGTTGCCCACTATGCTACCTGGACTCCTTAGTTAAATAATTGTATCTTTTTATATATAGGATGAGAAAGAAGCCCAAACACGTTTTTGTGGGCACATAGCTAAAAAGTGTCAGGGCTGTCATTAAAAGCCAGCATTGAATCAAATCTAAAAGTCTCACCAAACTAAAATGCATTGTTACTGATGTTTTGGTGACAGTGTTGTTCATGGCATTACTTGTTTCCTGTATAGATTCAGCTTCTATTGCAGTACTTGAAGAGTGATCCCAGGAAAGCAGTAAAGAGACTTGCTATTCAAGATCTGAAATTACTTGCCAATAAAACACCTCATACTTGGAGTAGGGAAGATATTCAGGTATATTGAACTTTGAACATTTATATTCTATATACAAAAATAATCTTAACATTTTAATAGAATACATTGTTTTGTTTTACATTTTTGTTGTCATTGTCATCTTTTAAATTATAGGTTCCCAAAGCTATTTGGCCTACTGCCCTTTTTCAGAGAAAAAAAAAAGCATTCCTCTGGCTATGAAACCTTTCTGTACTGTAGACCACAATCCAGGGTAAAGTGTAGGTCTGGTTTTGCTGTCGTCCATCTACCCCGTCCTGTCCTGCCCCAGGGAGAGTTATCACCACGTTGGAAAACACTGTTAAGTGGTTGAATAGGCTATGTGACAAATTACTTCATAAGTGGCATATTTAATATTAACACACAAGACTTTCATCCTTCCTTATTTGTTTATTTTAGTATCATACTTGCCTTTCAATAGCTTATTAATTTTACCATATCTTCATTGAGGCTGGTTAAGAAGCTTAGTTGAATTGTATACTTTTATCCCTTCCTCCTTTAGTTTAGGGGGAAGAATTTAGCTACTGGCTATATTTAAGTACTGGATAGGACATTGCCAAATGTATTCCTCCTCCTTATGGAGATCAAAAGGCATTCTAAAGTCTTTTTATTGTGAGTCCAGAAACAGACCTCACACTGTCTAGACAGTTTATGTGAAGTATACCGTTTCTTACATTGAATTAATGTTGGTTATTTTCCCCCATCAAAATCAAACTATTTCTTTACCATTCACTGATAATGGATATAACGTTTTCTAAATTATGCCCTTTGAATTGAGGAAATTGTCTTAGAGACCACATGTGATCCCTGGCTACACAAGGGAGAAGGAGAATCCAGCTCCACAGCTGCCCAAGGCAGATGTCAGACATGCTTCCACCTTCCATCCTTCTTTACCCTGTTCGACATCCACCATTCCTCCCATGGCACGCTACGTGATTTGTTGCAGTGGCCACATAGAACTCATAGACTGCTCCTGATCTAAGAAGGGTTTTATTAGAGAAGCTAACAGATTACAAACGGTTAAGGATACAGTTCGTTTGTCTGAAGCACCTCCTTGCTAGCCTTGCTGACAGGTGTGTGTCTCTCAGGTATGTCCTTAGTCTCTCAGCTTTCCTTGGCTTCTGGCTCATTCCAAGGGCTAGGAAGCCCATTCACTGTTCTGCCTCATGATCAAACTGCTGCTGCTCTGCTGTCTCATGATCTTGGCCTGACTGTTTTGCTCTATCTCATGCTAGAGACCTCTGATGCCTCTGCTACCTCCTCCACTTTAGACAGGAGTTTCTCGTGCCCTTCACTGTGTCCCCCTTTTATATCCAGTGGAATGACAAGACGGACCAAATCCTCTCCATCTCTATTACATGCTCCCATCCATTCTGTGGATGGGAGTCACAAAGACTATGGCTGGAAGAGCCATATGAAGCATTTCCACTTTCCTACAGAAGTAAAATGGAAGATTGTTGGAATTTGTTTCGTTTTCTTGGATTATGATTTTATCTCAGCATTATTATGGCTCTAGTGTATAAATTTAAAACGTTTCAATTTCGTGTGAAGAAAAACTAAGTTCTGTTTAACTTTGTTTGCCATTTTCTAGTACATTTCCAAATATGAGGATTTGATAATCACAAGTATTCCAAGGTATAAGGTCAGTTATAGTATCTGTATTTTGATGAGTAAACTAGTGTTATACACTTAAATACGCTTATTCTTCATTTTTCTTGTCAATTCTACTAAAAATTTAAAGTTACTTGGTTAAATTCCACCAAAACAATAACTCCAAACACCTTTGATTATTTGATTGTAAAGGTCATTTTGGTTAAGTGAGAAAAAAACACCCAAACTCTGTATTTAACCAAGACAACTTGAACTGCATAGATATGTTGTGTCTTTTAACTATTTCAATGTCTTTAAAATCTCAACTGAAGGGCACTCAACAGCAGCAGCAGTGAATCTTTTGCTCTAATCTATTTTATCTGATGTTAATAGATCTACATCTTTCTCCTGGTTGTGTTTGTGTGTTAGATCATTTGCTGTCTCACATTTAATTCATGTATAATTTAGTTTCATAGATTTCTCATACACAGCATTTAGTTGGACTATTTTAACCAGCCTGGCAGTCTTTGTCATTTCTAAATGGAGCATGTGATCCATTTATGTTTAATGTAATTTATTTTACAGTTTACCTTTATTTTGTTCTTTGTATTTGCCTTCTTTGTTCTCCCTGTCCCCCCTTATTTTGGCCTTTTCTAGATTGTTTATTTTTCACTTATTGTTTTATTTTTAACTTTTTACTGTGAATCGGGTGATGGTTACAGAGCAAATACGGTTTCCATTCACCAATTCATACACATTTTGCTTCATGTCATTGATCACATTCTCTATAATATAGCAACGGCCCTGACTCCTTCCTATGTTTCCTGCTCCCATTTCTCCTCCTTTCCTAACTCGTTCGCATTTTGCACCTTTGCTCTCACGTGGTTGGCATTCTAAGGTGTGAGTACCTCCTTAGTGTTAGTGTTCTGCTTATAGACCTGTCTATTGTCTCACGGAAAATTGAGCCATGAGAGTGGGTATATTTTCAGACCTGAAATACAAGGGCCAGTCTCAGAGCTTCCACCAGTCTCTACCAAACAGTAAGTTTGGTCTTTTACATAATAGTGAATTTTGTTCCCCATTTGTTCTTCCATAGTAGCTAGGACCTTTTAATCTTCTCACTTTCCTGATCCCTTTCAGAGCAGTTGATTTTGATAGTCAGGCACCATTTAGTTATTTTTACCTCAGCGTCCTGAATACTGATGTTCATATAGTCCATTAGTCCAGTGGACTAATTCAATATTTTCTAAAGTAAGTGATAATACTTCCCTGGGGAGCATTAGAACGAGCCAGGGAAGTTTTTAATTGTGTGTCTGGGACACACAATAGTTTTTTTTGGTTTTTTCCCTGGAAAAGAGGTGGTAGGCCAGTTAAGTTTGGGAACCAATGTGTCTTTGATTTCTTCACTCCTCTTTTTTCTGGACGGGGAGAGGCAGTCAATGTTTGCATCTTAGATGGCCTCTCACAAGCTTTTAAACTCTAGTCTCTGTTCATTAAAGCAGAATGTAGGATATTTTCTCTATGGACTGTTACGCTAATTGACCTTGGTTTAACCCCAAGACTATGGTCCTGAGCCTCCAGGCCCCATGATTCATTCCCTAAAGGTGTTTGACTATGCCCGCAGCTTCATGTGAGAAAGTGTGGGCTTTCTACTCCCATAAACACGGTCTCAGAAACCCTCCAGGCGTTGCTACAAGTCAACACTGACTCCATGACAGTGAGTGTAGGTGTTAGGAAAATGGGAAAATGACGTGGGGCAGTGTTTGTTCTCTTCTGACTTTACAAGTAGTAAGAAAAATCAAGCTCAACAGTCAAAGACCAGTTCTTCTGAGGCAGAAGTCAGATGTCTGTCCCCTCCAGTTTTCTTTATTAATTCTGACATCTCTCCCTTCCAGAGCACTCTTTTGTCCTCTGCCGGTTTGATAATTCATAGCCGTGGTCTCCTAGAACTCACAAATAATATAATTATGAGGATCATTAGGGAAGTTAACAGGTTATTATTCAGGTTTAGAAATGCGTGGGATACAGTTCTTCAGTCATACCTGTCTCTGGTCCTCGGTCTTCAGCCATGTAGCCCTTTAGCCTCTGTCCTGCTCAGACAGTGTTACAAAACTCCATTAACATTGTGGATAAATACCCAAAGAACATTCCTCTCTGCCATTACCATCAACTCTAAAGACACTTGGCTGTAGATTTGTGGGTCTTCAAACCTAGGCACCCCATTGTTAGCAAGGGACCCTCTTGCTCAAAGACACTTAGATTTCCTGCTCAGGGTATCCAGACCTGCTGCTCTGTCTTGGAGCTGCTGCCTCTCCTCTTGGCCATTTCCACCATGTCTGTGTGACAGTTCTCTTACTAGATCGAGGAGGTTCAGCACATTCCTTGCTCTTTTGTTCTTTCTTTTTCCCCAGAAATCTTTATTGTGGATTAGGTGGGGCTTTACAAATCAGTGTCGTTTTTATGAATTAATTCATTAATTTCTTTTTCTTTTTTTAAAATCATTTTATTAGGGACTCATACAACTCATCACAATCCATACATAAATCAATTGTGTAAAGCACATTTGTACATTCATTGCCCTCATCATTCTCAAAACATTTGCTCTCCACTTAAGCCCCTGGCATCAGCTCCTCATTTTCCCCCCTCCCTGCCCGCTCCCCCTTCCCTCATGAACCCTTGATACTTTATAAATTATTATTTTGTCATATCTTACACTGTCTGACGTCTCCCTTCACCCACTTTTCTGTTGTATGTCCCCCAGGGAGGAGGTTACATGTAGATCCTTGTAATTGGTGTCCCCTTTCCACCCCACCCTCCCTCCACCCTCCTGGTATCGCCACTCTCACCTGAAGGGATCATCTGTCCTGGATTCCCTGTATTTCTGGTTCCTATCTGTACCAGTGTACATGCTCTGATCGAGCCAGATTTGTAAGGTAGAATTGGGATCATGATAGTGGGTGGGGAGGAAGCATTTAGGAACTAGAGGAAGATTGTATTTTTCATCGTTGCTACATCGCACCCTGACTGGCTCGTCTCCTCCCTGCGACCCTTCCGTAAGGGACTATCAGATTGCCAACAGATGGGCTTTGGGTCTCCACTCCGCACTCCCCGTTATTCACAACGATATGATTTTTTGTTCTGGGTCTTTGATGCCTGATGCCTGATCCCTTCAACACCTGGTGATCACACAAACTGGTGTGCTTCTTCCATGTGGGCTTTGTTGCTTCTGAGCTACATGGCCATTTGTTTACCTTCAAGCCTTTAAGACCCCAGATGCAATATCTTTTGATAGCTGGGCACCATCAGCTTTCTTCACCACATTTGCTTATGCACCCATTTATCTTCAGGGATTGTATAGGGGAGGTGAACATAGAATGATAAGATTTTTTATTCTTTGATGCCTGATAACTGAG